TGGGTTTTTAATTTTCTGGAATTTAGTTTGTTTGATCGAAAGGGGTTTATTTTTCTCTTACCAAGAAAAATGATAAAATTTAGGATTAAGTCCTTAAACTTTCCACATGTTCCAAAATAGAGCTGCATCTTTTAAAAATTTACAATTTAGTCCTTAATTTTTCTCTTATTATGATTTTAATTTGATACATAAAATTAATAGATTTTTAGCCCCTAAATTTGAGTGTGACAATAATTTCTATTTTTAGATTTACTGAGAGTGATTCCATTATTTAGGCCAGTAAGGTTATTTTAGTCATTACGATTTCTAGTGGATTCCTAACAACTTAACCTAATAAGGGTAAAACGATGATTCATGATATTCAAGATTCATGTCAATTTATTAAGATATCAGGTCAACTCGAACTGAACATCTTCAGAACCATCGTAGAACGGATCTTGACGAACTCTACATATTCCTATGGTATTTGTTTTATTTATGAAATGCAACAGTCTCCGAGATGACCAATGTGTTTGAGTCGTACTCCACAACCTTTAAGGTGATACAATACTTAGGTTTTCTCGATGTTTCTAGAATTGACCAATAATGCTCACTTATTTCTAGGTCATGAAGGTATTTAGGTCATTTAGTAGTTAAGTCTACCATTATCACCTCGGAGTTTCCAGAGTAATTCAATCATTTTCGAATTTCGGATACACATAGTTCTTCCATTTAGTTCAACTTGGTAATATAATTTAATCATTTAAAGAAATTCATACGTGTAAAATACCTTCGATAATTCAGTCTCCGGGTGTTATCTTAGAAAATAGAAAATTTTAGGTCATTTGGTATTCGAGGTTGATTTATTAATTTAAGAGATGGAGGGTATTTAGTTATTCCAATGCTTAAACTTTATGTGAGTCATTTTACACTTCAGGATTCCAATATATATATGAATTTTAAATCGATGATTCCAAGGTTTAAGTGGATCAAGACGTAAGTTCTTAGGTCGTCTCCCTTCTCATAGCCATCCATTATGCTTTTTTCACTTTAAACGTATCATCGTCATTCCACTCAACTTTTTCAATGACATACTTTCAATAAATTAGGCTTGAATAAATTCTAGTTCCTTTATCGTTCAAGTTATTTTGTTCCTTTGATCACTGGAGGTTATTATAGTTGTTTCATAGCTGATGACATTTTGGTAATTCTTTTCAATTCAAACATATGCACTATTTCTGATAACTGGTCAAATATGTCTTTTCTAGGTTATCTTTCACCATCTGGGGAAGTCTTGATCTTTTACAGTACAAGGGTATTTTCATAATTTTACCCTATAGGGCTATTTTTGGTAATTCTTATCCAAATAATCCTGGTATTAAACCTTTAAAGGAATTTATCAAAATTTATGGATCTTGAAATTCATTTATTATTGAATCATTGAACTTATAATTATTTCTGATCGATCTTTCAGTTTCTCTTTTTCGAGTCGTCTGCGCCTTATAACGTGTTCTGTCTTTATTCCAATTTACGACTGAATCCAATGATAGTTAACTATACCTAATGGACCAATAATTTCTATTCATGCGTTTACCATTTATCAGTGGGTTCCAAAAAGCATATAAAAGGTAGTAAAGTATTACCTCAATTTTTGTGCTCCACCGATCGAACCTTTAATCTCTATTCGATCACTCTCGAACTTGAATCCAATGTCCAATAATTTCTGGGATACATAGCAAATAATTTTACGTAAGAAACTGAACTTAATCGAAAAACCAACTTGAATTCGAAGATAAATCACTGAAAATAGCTTACCATGTGCGAATTTGTCAAAACGGGCTTCAGATTTGGCTAACTCAATGGGTTGAATCAGCTGACTCGGTCAACTCGACCGAGTTGACTTAACTTTCCAGAATTCTTGGCTGAAAAGGAAGCCCCACGCGTGAACGGCGACGCGTGGTGGTGCGTGACAATGGCAACGACCTCGGGGTGGTCGGCTGATTACCCCATGTTCGGGCACTTGACAAAATCAGTCCAGACAACATCATCATTAAACTAAAATCCAACAGAAATAAAAAGGAGAGGACCAAAACGCTTACCCACGCCGGCGGTCGATGAAACCGGTGATGTTGACCTGACACACCGGTCGGGTTTTGAACGGACGGAGGTGGAGAGTGCACTGATGGCGGTCGTGAGCCAAAACGGTGTCTAAACTAGCCAGAATCAGGTGCAAACTAGCAGCGACGTTAGGGATTTGGTGAACTGAGGTGAGCTCCCCACACGGCGAACGGCGTCAGCTAACACTGAACGACCTTAGGGATTTTGGTCGGACGACCACAGTGCTTCAAATAGAGGTGGCAGTGACGCTCACCGGTGGCCGTAGCAAGGCGGATCGAAGGAGGGAGACGACGGGGATTTTTGGCGATTTTCTTCTAATTCGCGACGGACGACGGCTAGTTTGAGAGATCTTAGGGTTGGATTGAGGTCGTTGGTCGATGGTGAGCTCGGAGGGCGTGACGGCGCACTCCAAAGGAGGTTGGACGACGTTGGTTCGACGGAGTGACGGATGCTAGGTTAGGGAAATATTTGGGGATTTTGGTTCTTACCAATCGGGGGAAAAAGGTTTAATCAGGTTTATTTTTCACTATTAACAGAAAAATGGGCAAATTCAAGATTAGGTCTCTGAATTTCCTGCACTTTCTAAAACTGTCCATAAGTTTCAGAAACTCATAATTTGACCCCTAATTTGGGGGTGTTACAATAAAAGCAGAATCTTTGGGACTGATAGAAGGAATACGAGGGATAACTCCAAATTTATCATTATCACATCTCCAATTTGCAGATGAAGCAATTTTTTTCTTGAGGCCGAATGAGGAACATATTTTAAACTTGATGAGATGCTTTGAAATAAGTTCGGCTTTGAGCATCAATTTCACAAAATCGTGCATGGTGGGGATTTGCATTGAAGATGAGGTTATAACGGTGTTGGCCAAGATTTGCAACTGTTAAATAGGCTCACTGCCCTTCAACTATTTAGGTATCCCTTTGGGTGCCGATCTGAGGAAAATAACAACATGGGATCCAGTGGTTTAAATATTTAGAATAAAACTTGCTGGTTGGAAATGGATATCTTTATCGTTTGCAGGGAGAGTAATGGTCATCAACTCGGTTCTCTTAGTACTTCCAATGTACTTCATTTCTATTTACCAAATTCCAAAAACGGTGATGTGCAAATTGGAAAAGAGAAAATAACCTCAGTGACCAAAAATGTCTTATAATATACGATTTTAACCAACTTTTTTTGGATTTGCCAAAATGACCAACTAAATCGCAATGCGATCGATAATTCGCAACGCGATCTCCGGTATCGCAAATCAGTTTCCAGATTCGCAACGCGAACTTCAACTATCGCAACGCAAACTTCGACTATCGCATTGCGATTTACATATTCGCATTGCGATAGTCCAAGTTCGCGTTGCGATTTATTCCAAATTTGTTGTGATAGTCCAAGTTCGCGTTGCGATTTATTCCAAGTTCGTTGCGATAGTCGAAGTTCGCGTTGCGATTTATTCCAAATTCGTTGCGATAGTCCAAAATCGCAACGACTGGTGGTATTGCATTTGTTTCTTAAGAATTTTCTCTAAAAAGATAGTATTCGCGCGGACGTTTCGAAGACACGTATTACCACGACCACGACCACGACCCGAAACGAGACGGACAGCGGCGACGCGCAAGAGTCCCCCTTGTTCTCTATCACTCAACAAGGAAGTGAGAAAGCCAAGCCTTAAATACCATTCCCAATAGTGTTTCCAATACTATGTGGGATTGAGCATTACCAACACTTGTTTCCAATACTATGTGATTATTCAGGAAACAATTAACAATCATGCACCTTAAAACAACTGAATGAGCAACTAATTGCATTAGTATTATACGATTAAATATGTCATAATTAAAAGTCAATCTACAATCAATCGCGATTATTGCAATTTTAAGTAAAACATTAAAAAAAAATTGCATCACTCGCGAGAATAAAAAAAATTGTTATCGTGCAATTACAATCAATTGAAAATAAATTAGAATTGCATGAAAACTAAACGAACCACAAATACTTTTCATACAAATACTGAAGTCATTAACTATAATTCACAAATAATATCACTATTTAAGGCTCAATCCCACATAGTATTGGGAACTAGTGTTGGTAATGCTCAATCCCACATAGTATTGGAAACACTATTGGGAATGGTATTTAAGGCTTGGCTTTCCCACTTTCTTGTTGAGTGATAGAGAACAAGGGGACTCTCGCGCGCCGCCGCCGTCCGTCTCATCTCGTCTCGGGTCGGGTCGTGGTCGTGGTCGTGGTCGTGGTAATACGTGTCTTCGATGCGCGAATACTATCTTTTTAGAGAAAATTCTTAAGAAACAAATGCAATACCACCAGTCGTTGCGATTTTGGACTATCGCAATGAATTTGGAATAAATCGCAACGCGAACTTCGACTATCACAACGAACTTGGAATAAATCGCAACGCGAACTTCGACTATCGCAACGAACTTGGACTATCGCAACGCGAACTTGGACTATCGCAACGAATTTGGAATAAATCGCAACGCGAACTTGGACTATCGCAACGAATTTGGAAAATCGCATTGCGATAGTTCAAGTTCGCGTTGCGATAGTCCAAGTTCGCGTTGCGATAGTCGATGTTCGCGTTGCGAATCTGGAAACTGATTTGCAATACCGGAGATCGCGTTGCGAATTATCGATCGCATTGCGATTTAGTTGGTCATTTTGACAAATCCAAAAAAAGTTGGTTAAAATCGTATATTATAAGATATTTTTGGTCACTGAGGTTATTTTCTCATTGGAAAAAATGAGGAGAAATTTCCTATGGGGCAACTGGACAGGCTCCAAAAAATTATGCAGAGTTAATTGGGGCACAGTCTGCTTACCAAAGAAAAATAGGTAGGGCAGGGGTGATAAATATTAAAAAGAAGAATAGTCCATTTTTAGCGAAATGGGGGTAGAGGTATCTCTCGGTAAAAGAGGCGCTATGGTTCAAGGTGATTAATGCCAAGTACAGTAAACCGAATCAGAAAGGGCCGAATTAAATGCGAAATGTAAAGAAAATGTCAATTATTTGGAAAGGATTCTTGAACGACCTTTTGAAGAGAGATGTTGGGAGATGGATGAACAACTTAGCTTTCCAGCGGAAGCTCGGGGATGGTAAAACAATCAGGTTTTGGGAAGATGTATGGTGTGGTGACAGACCAATCTGCTTGTTGTTTCCACGACTACACAGACTTGCGTTGGGGAAGGGAATGACAATCGTTGAAATTTCAGTCCATAGGAGCTTGGATGAGATAAACTGGCCCGCACACTTTTGCAGATCCTTTCGTGATAAAGAAAATAGAAGACTCGAAGCGTTAATTAAATGCTTTGAAGAGGAAAAAAAATAAATAACCTCATTCCTGACAGAATTATCTGGCTACATGATCAGGCGGGGAGATTTTCAGTTGCGAAATTATCTGAGTTATTAGTTAATGACGACACAGCAGAACCGAACTTCAACTTTGGTAAAATCTGGAACCTCAAGGTGTCTCCTAAAGTGAAATCTTTCATTTGGATGGTAAAAATTGAAAGGATCCCAACAAAAAAGTTCCTTATTGCGAGAGGAATCAGATTGGACGAACCCTCAAAATGCTGCCCTTGGTGCAAGGTAGCTGTCCAAACTACTTTTCATCTCCTTTTTAATTGCAGGTTTATTTGGTGTTTCTGGAGGAATTTTTGCAGTTGGTGGTCAATGCACTGGTCGATTCCCGCAAACCTCAATGACTTCTTTGCATTCTGTTTCTCGGTGTCTTGGTCAGGCCCTACAAAATCAATCTGGTTAATATCTGTGGCAGCAGCGCTATGGGGGGTGTGGTTGGCGAGAAATGAGATGGTTTTTGAGAATAAATCGACTTCTCAGAAGGATCTGTTGTTCTATGTAAAAATGATGACCTTAATTTGGATTAAAGAAGTAAATGATTCCTTAATTCTTTGCGAAGAGAATTGGTGGAATGATCCTACAGGGTGCGTTCTGCCGAAAACTCCAAAGATGGATTGGCAGCCACCTGCGGCCGGGCTGCTGAAATTTAATATAGATGGAGCCTTCAGAGATTCGGCAGTTGGGTGCGGGGGAGCGTTGAGAGATAATAGTGGCAACATAAAAGCGATCTTTTCAGGGCCTAGAGAAGTTGTTAACTCGGATTTTGCTGAAGTAGTTGCGATAAAAACTGTCTTGGAGCTTTTCCTAGAAATTGGTTGGCATAGGCAATGGGAACTAATAATAAAATCCGATTCCCAAGTTGCCTTAAACTGGGTTGGTTCCTTATCGTTAAGGCCCTGTCATTGGTAGGAGCTCTTTGACGAGATTGATAGACTGCTGGAAAAAATTTCACGTGTGAAGCTTGTGTACGTTCTGCGGATGGGGAATGGTTTGGCATATAATCTAGCAAAACAAGGTCTGAACCGATCCAACCTTTTCAAAGCTTGGTGGGACTAATTGATGTTTGTTGTCAAATGCCCCTGTAGAATGTGATTCGCAGTTTTAATGCTTCTTCAGAATTTATTTTGGGACTGGTTTGCTGCTCTGGTTGAAAAGTACTGCAGAGGCTGATTTTGTTTGGATGAAGAATATGGAAGAGTTTTTGCAAGATGGTGACTCAACCATTTCAAAAGAAAGGTCCGTGGTCTAGTGAAGTAGTCCAGAAGCTGAATGCTTTTTCTTGAGTTATAGCATTTGGAGTTGGAAGAAGTTTAAAGAGGTCTCCTTATAGAACTTCCATTCGATTGAAGGAAAAGAAAGTTTGGAGAATAACTAGTCTGGCATCAGCAACCATGTTTACTTTTATTTTGACTTGCTCGGGTGATTTCTTGTTGTGCGGATATTGGCTGCTGCTCAATTATTTTAGCGTCTCATCAGATGGTTTTCCTCACACAGCCTTGCTGTTAGTCTTCTTTGGTGCCTACTTAGTCCTGCCTTATGCTAGGATATGCTCTGTAATTGGCTCTTGGGATTGTCGTGGAGGGGCCATTGTCCGTCTTTGGTGTCTTCGTTTTTGTTAGTGTAAGTTGGAGTTGTAACTTTATACCTTGTTAAGAGTATTCTTTTTCTAACAAGTACTCTTTTTCTCCAACTAGGTGTAGGAGGTTTTTAATGAGACTATTAACGTATGTTTGTTTAACTAATAAATTTCTTTTTGCTGAGAAAAAAAAACATTATCATTTGTGATAGTCAATGCTAAAACCTTTATTTTGTTGTAGCAGTCTTACTAACAATTTGGAAGCAATTTGACTACCACCAAAAGCATAGTGATTGATAAAACTATTAATCTAACAAAGTGACAGCTGACAGTGAAACAAAGTTATTAGATGCGTTGCTGCATTCAACTTAAAAACCCTCTGAAAATTTTCGAAATATTGATATCGAAGTTTCTATAAAGAAAATGAGTATCATTATTATTATTTTATTTAATCAAATGTTTCATCTTTGTTTTTTTATTTTTATTATAATTATTCTTTTCATTTCTTTCCTCGACAAGAAAATGAGAATTCCTCTCCAATTACATCGTTGAATATTCAAGGACAATGTGATAAGTGGAACAATTAGTGGAAGTAAACCAAGGAACAAAAAAAAATTCTAAATTTGAATTGTTGGTATTCTATCGACAAATAATTGAGTTAACTATGATGTCCCCCTATAATTTTTTAGGATGAATTATGCTCAACATCGTGAAGGTCTCTTCATTGGCTTAGGCCTCATGTTATATTTTGGGATTGTTAAAACCATAAAAATATTGCAATCTTCACTATTACTACTCTTTCATCTTTGTCACTAGTCCAACATGATAGAACGATCATCAATAGAAGCCAATGGTTTAAACTTTGCTAATTTTACAAATACAATGACTCTATCCTCGATTACAATTATAACACTTACCTCTTCGATTTCCAGCAAAGAAAGTGAAAGATCAATTTCAATAGTAAATTAAAAAGGAAAATAAATAAACTCAAAATAGAGGTAAGCGCAAAGCACTTGTTGCATATAGATGATCAAGAAAACAATGAGAAAGTCAAGTAGGGCTGGGAAATACTTTCATTCTAAAAATAAACTTAACACTATTGTTGCCCAGGATCGAACTGGGATCTTTAGCGTATAAGACAAACATGATAACAACTACACCACAACAACACACGTGTGTTCAGTTAATTTCTTTCTTTATGTTAAGCTTTACTTAATTCTTTTAAGAAACATGATTAAAAAAATGGATATCGAGTGTTACTTATTTGTAGATAATCCAACTTGTTTTTTGTGTGGATTTTATAACATATACAATTAACTCTCAATGTACTTTTGTATAAATTTATATATTATAAACTTATTATTTCATGAATTTAATTAACTCATATTTAAATTTAGATAATTGTATTCATTTAATTTTAATAATAAATAATTATTTATTTGAATTTATAAAAAGTAGAAATATCTAATTTGTTTTTGTTACGATCACGAGTTGATCTCGACACATATATGTATTTAACTACTTAAGATATTGTAAGCGATGCTTTATGTTTTTCTACACCACTTGACTCGACATGATCGTAAAAAACTTAACAAAATTCAATAACATTGGACTTAAAAAAGGTTACTGATATCTTAAGAAGGAATGTCAAGTTATAATTCATTATTTTCAGATAGAAAAATTATTTGTTTCTTGTGTCTTTCCTTTTTTTTTTCTTCAACGAAAAGAGCAATATCAAGATAATTCAACTTCCTTATTTTTTGCAGTAAAAAATCTAAAAATTTATGTTAACCTTGGAGAACAACGTCCACTTTCAATATTACACATTTAATTTTATGACAAAAAAAATTAATTTTATTATTTTATTTATTATTGTCATTTGTGAAATTCAATACTAAAATCTTTATTTTGTTGTAATACTCTTACTAAAAATTTCGAAGCAATTTGACGACCACCCAAAGCATAGTCATGGACGACACTATTAATCTAAAAAAAAAAACTGCTGACGTTGAAACGGAGTTATTAAATGCGTTGTTGGATTCAACTTAAAAACCCTTTGATAAATATCAAATTATTGATATTGAAGTTTCTATGAAGAAAATTATTATCATTATTATTATTTTATTTAATCAAATGTTTCATCTTATATTTTTATTTTTATTATAATTACTTTTCATTTCTCTCCTCAACAAGAAAATGAGAATTCCTCTCCAATTACATCGTTGAATATTCAAGGACAACGTGATAAGTGGAACAATTAGTGGACCATGTAAAAAAAGGAACCAAAAAAATTAAATTTTGAATTGTTGGTATTGGATTGACAAATAATCGAGTTAACTATGATGTCCCACAACATTTTTTTAGGATCAGTTGTGCTCAACATCGTAAGGATGCTAGCCGTAAAGGTTCTCTTAATGGGCTTAGGCCTCGTGTTATATTTTGGGTTGTTAAAACCATAAAAATATTGTAATCTTCACTATTACTACCTTTTCATCATTGTCACTCGTCCAGCCTGATAGAACAATCATCGATCGAAACTAATGACTTAACTTTGGCTAATTCTACAAATACGATGACTCTATCATCGATCACAATTATTGCAGTTACCTCTTCAATTTCCAGCAAAGAAAGATAAAAATTAAGGTTAACAGGAAATAAAAAAGAGAAATGAAAAAAACTCAAAATGAAGGTAAAGATGAAGACACTTGCTGCAAACCGATGATCAAGAAGAATATGAGAAAGTCAAGTAGGGTTGGGGAATACTTTCATTCTAAAATGAAACTTAACAATGTTGTTGTCTAGGATAGAACTAGGGACCTTTAGTGTGTAAAACTAATGTGATAACACCACACCACAACAACACACATTTGTGTTCACTTAATTTTTTTTTTGTTAAGCTTTACTTAATTGTTTTCAAGAAATCATTATAAAAAAGATATGAATATCGAGTGTTCAGTTACTTGTATATAATCCAATTAATTTTTTTGGATTTTATAACATATACAAATATTAACTCTCAATGTACTTTTATATAAATTTATATATTATAAACATATTACTTCATGAATTTAATTAATTTATATTCAAATTTGTATTAAGGGCGAAGACACTTGTTGCATATCGATGATCAAGAAGACAATGAGAAAGCCAAGTAGGGTTGGGGAATACTTTCATTCTAAAATGAAAATTAACAATATTGTTGCCCAGGATCGAACTGAGAATCTTTAGCGTGTAAGACAAATGTGATAACAACTACACCACAATAACAACACACATTTGTGTTCACTTAATTTCTTTCTTTCTGTTAAGCTTTACTTAATTCTTTTCAAGAAATCATGATAAAAAATGAATATCGAGTGTTCAGTTACTTGTAGATAATCCAACTTATTTTTATTTTTATAACATATACAAATATTAAGTCTCAATCTACTTTTATATAAATTTATATATTATAACTTATTATTTCATGAATTTAATTAATTTATATTAAGGACAAAGACACTTTTTGCATATCGATGATCAAGAAGACAATGAAAAAGTCAAGTAGGGTTGGGGAATACTTTCATTCTAAAATGAAAATTAACAATATTGTTTCCCAGGATCGAACTAGGAATCTTTAGTGTGTTAGACAAACATGGTAACAACTAGACCACACACCAACACACATTTGTGTTCACTTAATTTTTTTTCTTTCTGTTAAGCTTTACTTAATTCTTTTCAAGAAATCATGATAAAAAAAGATATGGATATCGAGTGTTCACCTATTTGTAGATAATTCAACTTTTTTTTTGGATTTTAACCTTTAAAATGTACTTCTAAGAGGTAAAGCAAAGGAAATTGTCAATGGGGATGTCAATGCACTAATTGATTACTTTGATTATAGAAACAAGATGATTTTGGTTTTTTTTGGCATACTCAGTAGAAGAATCCAGGGCATTGCATAATCTTATTTGGGCTGATTCAACATCGAAATCAAATAACATGTGCTTCGGTGATGTAATTGCGTTTGACACAACGTACAAAGATAATTTCTATGGTCAACCAATTATACCCATTGTCGGTGTTAATCATCACCATAGCATAATAGTATTTTCTACTACCATCATCGATGACGAAACAACACAATCTTTCGAGTGGGTGCTGATTTTTTTTGCAAGCCATGATGAATAAATCACCTCTTTCAGTTGTCACCGAAGGGGATAGGGTAATGCAGAGGGATATCAAATATATTATCCCTTTTACTAAGCATAAATTATGTTCTTGGCATCTTTCTCGCAATGTACAAGCTAACATTGCTGACTGCAAATTTACAAAAACATTTTCCACATGCATG